GCCGGTAAAAAAAAAAAATTAAAATAAAAATTGAAAATTCGATTGATTTCGATTGATTCTTTGGCAAAAAGAGTGAATAATTTACGGTTTCAACAAATAAGATTAATGCCGGCACTAACTCCGCAGTATACATAAAAGTATCAAACAGTCGAATTAAATGGCATTTTGACACCGAACACGACGAACACTCGGCTAATAGTACATAAGTACATATACATTATACGTACATGAATACGTTTCGAACTAACGCGAATATTATCGAAGCAACGACAGGAGGCAGGTCCGCGAACATTGCCGCGACACCTCGTCGTGTCTCGCATACGGAAAAGGAAAAGTAGAAAGAGACGAGAAAAAAAAGGGAGAGAGAGAGAGAGAGACACTGAGTAAAGAGTCACGTAGCTGTCACTTGAGTGCGCTATGTGGCCGTCAAATACTCTACCGGGTGCTTCATTGAAACCGAGTTGGTACACACCGATACAACACAATGCCGTACTATAGCGAGGGTCAATGTACGTATTTTATTTGCATCGTTACGTTTTTCATCAAACCCACGCAAGTGTCGCCAATAAAAACAAGTTTTTTTTTTTTTTTAAAGGAAACAACTCGGTGTGCTTTATTAATTGCTCGACGACCGTTCGCTCTTCGTTTCGTACATTAAATACATTTTACGAAAGCTCGGGAGAATCGATTATTTTGTTTTCTATTCCAACGACGTGTATTTTTGAACTCTCGAAAACACGCGACACAACCGCGCCCAGTCATAAGTCACAATAATGATGACAATAGTAATAATAATTTTAATATTGAGCGGATTCGTATTGAAGAATAAAATGCAGAGTCGGTGGGTTATTCGTTGGGAAAATATGAAATGTTACTGATGAGGAAGTCGAAGCCGGCTTTATTACGATTGGCAGTGTGGGTATATATGTACGTGCAGGAAAGGAAATGAGAAAAAATGAAATTTCACGTGCAAATAAACAAAGAGGAGGAGGAGCGCGGTATACTCCGCATTGGATTCCAATGTAACGCCACTTGGTATTGAAAAATAAATAAAATGAGTAATGAGTAATATCTGTAATGTCTGAAAATCAATCTTTGGCGCTAAAGTTAGAAAGTGCCCGTCTCTCTTTCTGCTTTTTCTTCCGTTCGATCGTTTTATTGAAATTCGGTCGGAAAAGCTGGAATCTTTGCGCGATGAAGTACAACCATTTTTTAGTGGATCCACTCTGATATTATTAAATACGTTTAAAGTACGAGACATTTTTTTTTTCTTTTACACTTTTTAAGCTTAATGAAAGTACATAAAATTTTTAAAAACTCGATTGTTGTAGGGTTAAACGAAACCTACTGAAAAGTTGAGGAGAAAAATGAAAACATCGAAACAAATGACAAAAAAAAAAAAAAAAAAAAACACAGTAAATATTATGTAATAGAACCCAATAGTGAGATGTAACTGGTGTAGTTTTCAGTCGAGTCTCTTGTATGCAACTCGACTCCATATACATATATATCCATGATTGTACGTGTTATGCTCTGAATGTATATCTGTATTAAATTTGGAATCGTAAATTTGAAGACCCAATAACGCATTATACACAGCATCTTACCTATTATTTATTCCGTATACTCGATAACGATCATACTAATTTTCGTTCTTTGTTTTCTTTCTGTTTTCAGCTGCACAGATACCACAACGAGGAAGTGAGTATCACACTGATTCACACAAATTTCTTTTGCTCTTCGAGTGTTTTGTTTTTTTCTTGTAATTTAAAGAGGCTCCTTTCCTACAAGCATATTCATCAATTAATGAAAAAAATTTTACTCGTATCTAATCATGATAAGAAGATATAGAATGACGATAAAAAATAAAAATTTACCATCGAATTGGCAGCACTGCATGTCTTACAGATAGATAATGACGAGTCTGGAAAAGTTCGTTTATAAACACTACCATTTCTTGAAGCTAGTTTTATACCTGAATCGATTTCATGCCAAATTATTAAAGCTACTTTAAAAAACATTTAAAATGTGTATAAAGTTGCTTTTAATTATTTAATGGTCTTACACCCGACTACATATGAATAACCCAACGTATCTGTTTGCGAGTTTTAGAAACGAAATTTTATCAAGCCTCCTCAAACGTATACCTATATGCTCAAGCCTCGCAAATTGAGCTCCAACATATGAAAAAAAAAAAAAAAAAACGCTCGAAGAGCCCGGATCGGCGGTAAGAACCGACGAATAAGTAAAAAATCAGTTTCATCAATTTCAGCTTGCAAGAGGAAAGACGAGATGTCGAGCCAGGCAGAACACCAGCAGCCTGCCCCCAAGAAACCACGGCTAGTTTTCACCGACCTGCAGCGCCGTACTCTACAGGCTATTTTTAAAGTGAGTCGTACACACACCTCCACACCCTTAAATAATATCATCGTCAATGTCGCATCAATCATCATCATCATCATCGTTGTTGTAGTTGCGCCCACAAATGTTGGGGTTGCAGAGTTTGCGCGAGAGAGTATATATATATATACTTATCGGGGGAAACACAAAGTTTCATTGAAACAATGATAACTCTTGCGAGCGGTTGATTTTCGTGTGCCGTCGCGAACAACTCGCAAGTGGCAGCTCACCACCCACATATATAACTATACACATATACATATATAGTTGTAGTAGCGCACAGGGCAGGTATATTATAACGGACGGGCGGGTTATCGATCGGCTCTCTCGTATATATAGGCACGCACGTATAGGTATAACACATATATCGTGCATAATTTCTCAGCCGCGGCCCGCGGTAACAGTTACACGCTTACGTACGTAACAGTTGTGGTGTAAGTGCCCCTACATACAGCCACACAGGTGTACATAAAACAAACTACGTTTGCATAGTTGTTTCATTCGTATAATAAAAGTGTTAGGTCAAGGGGGGGGGGGGGGAGGGGGTGGCAAGGGCAACCTGGGCAACGCGCTCATCGCCGTATCCCACTTACCAATAATATATACATAACATGGCGCGTGTATCCACTACGGGCGTTTAATTTAATACCCTATGCGCTTACATTTATATGTGGTTGTAATAATGGAAGTAAGTATAATAAATGAATGATTGCAGGAGACGAAGAGGCCGTCGAAGGAGATGCAAGTGACAATCGCCCGGCAGCTTGGTTTGGAGCCGACGACGGTCGGTAACTTCTTCATGAACGCGCGGAGGCGCTCGATGGACAAGTGGAAGGACGAGGAGCCGAACAAATCGGTGAGCAGCGTCGACGAGGGCCAACTGTCGCCAACGATCGGTATAAGCCCGCGACAGGCCCAGGACGTTTTGTGACACACGTCGGACCACGAGGAGTACGATCAGGACGAGTCGGACGAGGAGGAGCTCGGCTTCTCCTAATAAGCATCGGTCCGTCGGGCGTCGTCGCGTCTATCGTCGAGCTACGCGCAACCCCGAGACCCGGGGTAGGCCTTGCTATATACCACACTGCTAAACTACTATCGTGTCATCAACACCGCCGCCGCCGCTGCCTTGGCCCTCTGTGTCCGTCCCTCCTATATATATATATATATATATACATACCTGGTGTTATCTAGTCAGACCCGCTGCACCTCTTCCCCATATCCACATCACGATACAGAGTGGTTTTGTTGTACAAGGGCGCGGCGTGCGATCGAGTTCCTATGAAAATATCGGCAGTGGCGAGGCGCCTCGAGGGCTACGCTGTTGTCGTCGATGCACCGATACTACGCTCGCCCACTCGTCCTCTCCTCGCTGGTCGTGAGATACATGTGATATATGATGTATTCGTGATGAATAGTCCTGAGAGAGACCGTAATCATCACCGCCGTGTCTACAACACGTTCTATTATGTACGCAATACGCGCGACGATACAATATAATATAATTTAATATATATATAGTAATGAGTAATATCTGTAATGTCTGAAAATCAATCTTTGGCGCTAAAGTTAGAAAGTGCCCGTCTCTCTTTCTGCTTTTTCTTCCGTTCGATCGTTTTATTGAAATTCGGTCGGAAAAGCTGGAATCTTTGCGCGATGAAGTACAACCATTTTTTAGTGGATCCACTCTGATATTATTAAATACGTTTAAAGTACGAGACATTTTTTTTTTCTTTTACACTTTTTAAGCTTAATGAAAGTACATAAAATTTTTAAAAACTCGATTGTTGTAGGGTTAAACGAAACCTACTGAAAAGTTGAGGAGAAAAATGAAAACATCGAAACAAATGACAAAAAAAAAAAAAAAAAAAAAAAAAAAAAAAAAAAAAAAAAAAAAAAAAAAAANATAATGGGACCGCGGGAGCAAACAGTAGCGCCCGGCTCGACCATCACCCTTAGGTGCGTGATAAACTCGCCGTACCAGACTCGGCCGATCAGAGGGGTCCAGTGGCTCCGCGACAACAAACTACTCACATTCCAAGTATAACCGTACACAATTTTTATTTATCACTACTAAGTACCATCAACAAACAGCGTTTATGCCATTTTGTGATACGACGCAGGCAGCCCGAGGTGGCATAAACGTGGAAACGGTCACGGGTATGGCCCAAACCTTCAGCGAGGCGACACTTGCCAATGTGACGGGACACGACAGCGGCAAGTACTCTTGTAGACCGTCGGAGGGTAAGAGCGACACCATTTTCGTCAACGTCCAAGACTCGACGACTTCATCGTTGGGCATTGGTAAGAGTTATTTTAACTTGTTTTTTTTTTTTTTTTTTTTTTTCTTCGTGTGATACGAAAATTGGTTTTTTCGCTTCAGAAGTAAACAAAAACAAAAGCACACGGTTACGATTGAAATTGTTGCTTCGTCTCAGCCAGCTCAATGTATACAGTACAAAGTAAACATATTTATGATAATAATAATAGTAATACGATTGACAAAGATGATAATGATAATAATAATAATAATAATAATATAATAAAAATAGTTGATCATTGAAGAAGTTACACCTAACTTGTCTCAAAGAGACCATCAGTTGAGTTCTAATAAATACATTGATGCCAGCAAAATAATGACTTTAGAAATCTCTGTTTGTTATGTTTGATTTGTCGTTCTCAAACTATAAAGGAATTGACTGGTGGACGATCGAGGCACTGGAAAATGAAAATTATATTAATATTGCGAAAGACTTGAAAATTGTTAGATTTGTAAATTATTTATTTTAACGCTCATGAGTAACTTGTAGCTTCTCACAACGTCATCTTAATGATGTATAAAAGTGATTTGTATGATAATATTGTAAATACAATGAAAGCAAAGTTATTATTATTATTATGATTATGACCGATTATTAATATATAAATAATGAAGGAAGCATTTTGTTGATGATCTAGATACGTAGTAGAAAAACACTTGTATAATGTGTATCATGTATTGCAAAAGTGAGGTATGAATTTAGGTAAAATTTAGATTGCAAAGGAACATAGTATAATATATATATATGGTTATGAATTAAATGGGTTAGAGAG